AACTTCCTTACATACTCCTTTCATTCTATTTAGAATTGGTCCTTATATTCCGTATGACTTTCATGTAAATCTTCTTAAAAATTGTCGCATAATTCTGCTCATAATTATCTTGGAGCTCTCCAATAAATTCTTCTCGAGATACTCTTACAATTAAACACGGAATTCTCATAAAACTCATTCCAGAATTCCCTTGGAATTGTTCCTTCAAAATTCGATTCCCCTGGTATTTATCGTGAGATCCTTGAAACTCTCTTTAGAATTCACTTGATATTATCTTTAAATTTTCTAAGAATTTCCTTCGAATTGTCATCACAATTCTGCTAAGAACTTATTTTGAATACAGGTATACCTCGATATAACGTAACTGTCACTTTTGACTTCCATCGCCGATTTCTCGCAAACGATCATTCAATCAAGCAAAGTAATGATTCCATCGGAAAGTCGAGATAAACCTTCGTCTATTGGTAATGTTGATTTATATGATTGAATTATTATTTGAGAGATATCAACGATGACGGTCAAAAGTGACAGTTACGTTATATCGAGGTATACCTGTATTCATTTACAATGGACCTGGAATCCGCATCACAATCGTCATGAATTTTCCAAAAGCACTACCTAAAGATTCTACTCTGAACGTCTGAAGTCCCACAAATGACTGAGAGTTCTAGTGATATCTCTCTTAGAGTTCTTAAAATAGATCTATTGGTATTTTTCTCTAACAAAACATTGTTGTTATCTGCAGAATTCATCCTAAAATTTCTACAAAATTCTCATAACATTTAGTTCATTAACCCTCCGTTACTCGCGCCAACTTTTTTAACACGAGTACTCGCGCGTTGTACTTTGTACAACAGTGTGAGTTTTCTATTGCCATTTTGCAGCCGAGCTACCAATCGATATGAAACAAACGGGTATTCCTTCAAAAACTTGTTTTTAACTAAACAAGCTTAACATTTATTACAGTTAACCCCCAAAAAATGCGGATAATAGAGAAAATGTGAATGTAAACCGCGTAAACGGTGTCCGTACTATGTGGGATTCGACTTGATTGGATACAACATAGAAAATCTCGAGATCCTGACCAGATAGAAAGTTACTGTCTTCGGCACAGTTGTTCTAGAGATCATAACCTTTTTGCTGGTGGAGAGTAGTTCCAAAAATTCTCACTACGTGGCGCTAGTATATACGTGCAATTTTCGCATATACAATAGTTCCAGATCCTGAGCAGATAGAAAGTTACTGTTTTCGACAAACTTGTTCAGGGGGTCAAGACTTTGTGGCTGGTGGACAGTAGCCCAAAATTTTCACACCACGTGGCGCTAGTAAACGTGAACAGTTCTCGCGTATGCTATAGCTTGAGATCCTGAACAGGTAGAAAATTACTGGCTTCGAAAAAGTTGTTCAAAATTTTTACACTACGTGGCATTAGTATACACGCGAAAAAATATCTCGAGATTCTGATCAGATAGAAAGTTACTGTCGTCGACAAAGTTTTCCAAGTATTCATAACTTTTTCGCTAGTGAAAATTAGTTCAAAATTTTCTCACTACGTAGCGCTAGTATACACGTGAAATTCTCGCATGTGCTTTGTTTCGAGATCCTTACCAGATAGAAAGTTACTGTCTTCGACAAAGTTGTTCAGGAGGTCAAAGCCTATTGCTTGGTGTACAATAGTTGAGAATTTCCTAAGCGGCGCTAGTATACACGTGAAATTTTTACATATGAAATATCACGAGATCCTGACCAAATAGAATGTTACTGTCCTGGGCAAAGTTGTTCAGGGGGCCAAGGCCTTTTCGCTGGTGGAAAGAAATTCATTTTTTTTTCACATCATTGCGCTTGTATACACGTGCAATTCTCGCATTAGATACATTTTGAGACCTGCTAAACTGTCATCGGCAAAGTTGTCCAGGAGATCAAAACTTTTTAATTGGTCGACAGTACAGAATTTTCTCACTACGCGGCGTTAAGATATACGTGAAATCTTCGCATATATAATATCTCGACATCCTGAACAGCTGGAAATTTACTGTTCTTAGCAAAGCTGTTTATGAGATAAAGATCTTTTGGCTGATGAAAAGTAGTTCAGAAATTTCTCAAAATTTGGCAGGCAATTCTCGCATATCAAATATCATAAAATAAAAATACAATTAACATCAGCCTTAGTGGGATAAGACAAATATATTCTTGGGGTGAGTCGTTCCACTTGTATACCTCTGATAAATTAGTGGTAAAACGTATCTCAGATGGAAAACATTATCTTAAAGATCAATATCGCTGAAACTTCCACAAAATTAATGTTTAGAGTCTCCCTTTCATCTTAGGCTAATTTAAAAATGTCTTATCGAGGGGTCTAGAACAAAAAAAAAGTCCCTGTATTTACGTGTGCACGGACAACGAGACTAACTCAGAGAGTGAGGCACTTTTGCTCAGTTGAATGGAGAAATTTATAAAACCGTACACCCCCGATTATAAGTTTAAGGACACCCCCAAAAAACATGCAAATGTGTTATGTTCATATCTTTGTCATTTTACGTCCAATATACGTTCTTTTTAGAACATTTGAAAGATTTTGAATGGAAATACGAAGAGGCAAATTGCTGAATAAAATTTTCAAATTTTGTATACCAAAGGTTCACCCAAAGTTACACTATTTTTCGAAATGTTCTCTGAAGAATCATGATTGATTTTCTCAGAATTGAGTTGAAAAATATATATTTGAATTAAAAGTAGTAGTAGAACCCTTATTCTTTGAACAAAACACATTTGCATGTATTTTTGGGGTGTATTTAAGCTTATGATCGGAGTGTAGGTTACTCAGCGCTGAGGAACTACGCTTTTGGAAATTTCTCCAGACAACTGAGTAAAGCAATCTCATGACTGAGATAGTCCTATGGCTCGACTGGCTAACTCGTGTATATATATTTTATACATTTTACATTACATCACACATTTTAGACGAACTGAGTAGATTCTTCTCGTTTAAATTTAGGATAAGGTGTAACCATAAATTCGACGTTACACTCCTAGCAGCGTAGGAATAGCGGTATAATGAAAGAGATGATAATTTCATATTATCAGGCCTTTTGTTTATGACTTTGGGTGTACCTACACCTTTAGAATGTTTTACCAAGATGGGCACCACCGAGCAGCTGGGTATTTTATTTTGCTGGATCTCAGCGAAAAACTTGCCACGTGGTGAGAAAATTCTTAACTACCGTCTACCAGCCAAAAAGTCTTGACCCCCTAAACAACTTTGCCGAAGACAGCAACTTTCTAGCTGATCAAGATTTCGAGCTGAATATGCGTGAAAGGAACGTATATACTAGCGCCGCATAGTGAGAAAATTCTGAACTATTGTCACCCAACAAAAAGATCCTGACTTCCTGAAAAACTTTGCCGGATATTTACTTTATATCTGGTCAGGATCTAGAGATATTTTATATGTGAGAATTTCACATGTATAGTAGCGCCGCGAAGTGAGAAAACTCTGAACAACTATCCACCTGCGAAAAAAACTTGACCTCCTGAACAACTATGCCGAAGACAGTACCTTTCTATCTGGTCGGGAACTCGTGATATTTTATATGAGAATTTCACGTGTATACTAGCGTCGCGTTGTGAACAAATTCTGAACTATTGAGCGCCAAGCAATAGGCTTTGACCTCCTGAAAAACTTTGTGGAAGACAATAACTTTCTATCTGGTCAGGATATCGATATATTCCATGTTGTAATCAATTAAGTCAAATCCCACGTAGTATGGTCACAGTTTACGCGGTTTCCATTTACATTTTCCCTATTATCCGCATTTTTTAGGTGTTTACTGTTACCAAAGTTTAGCTTGATCAGATCAAAACAAGTTTTTTGAGGAATACTCGTTGGTTTCAGATCGATTGGTAGCTCAGCAACAAAATGGCAAAAGAAAACTCATGTGTGTTGTACAAAGTACAACAGTCCGAGTAATGGAGGGTTAAAGTGACTGTATCCTCAAAATATTTTCCAGTTCATGGGTCTTGCAAATGTTTAAAGGTCCGGAATCTTATTTTTCCAGGTTTTTTCATCGAAATTCATTTGCTTTTCCCGATTTTTTCCCGGCGATTTCGAATTCGCGCCTTTTTCCCGAGGGGGGGGGGGGGGGGCTCATAGCCTAGTCAGTAAAGGCACGGTATTACCAAGCCGGAGGCGGCGGGTTCAATTCCCGGTCATTGTGCTTGCCACACAATATACAAATTCATGCATTGGTATTGGCATCGAAAGCTCTCAATTAATAACTGTGGAAGTGCATTTAGAACACTAAGTTGAGAGCACGCAATAGGCTAATGTGCACTAAGCAATAAGCTTAAAATGCGAATAAGAAGAAGAAGAAGAAGCCTTTTTCCCGGTTTTCCTGAATTCCTGATTCACTTTAAAACAAATAAATATTAATTTTCGTCAACGAAATATTGTAACCGTTTGCTTCCGATCAATAAATGTCACTATTAGTTACCCTTTTTATTGCTTTAATGTCACTATTTGGTCACTATTTCCGTTATTTTAGTCACTTAAGTCACTACTATTATATTACATATCCACTACCAGCCCTGATATTAGAGGTAATGCATAATTAAGTCATGCAGGTTTTAAGATTCTTCGACAAACAATGCATAGGAAAATCGTGACGTATGAGGGAGGGTTTTTTTTTCACGTGACATAATGAATGACCCGTTAGTATTTTGTGCAGTAATCATTAATTTATCAGTAATCTATTTAATACTGTACGTCAGTAATCTCGCATTGCATACCATAAGCAATTTGTTTCGTCGCGTCATTTTTCCAGTGAACACCAATTTCAGTTCACCGTAACGATTTGTCTCACCACGTGCGTTCATTTTCAACCACACCGGTAATGGAACATTACCAAATTGAGAAATCAAACGCATGGTGCGGCGCCTCAATCATGTCTAATTGATGTTAACCTAGTCTCAATCAATATCCCTGCCGTTCGTTTTGTCCACAGATTCCCAAAATATCGAATCTGAAAACGCTGGACAGGATCCTGTTCAACTACTACTACTACCAACTGCGGCACGATCTGCTGCACAGCAAAATTGGCGAAATCGATCACGACGAGTACAAGAACAAAATCCTGGGCTACGTTGTCAACGATATGTACCGGAAGATGGTGGAGCATGACGTACCGATATCGGAGCTGAAGCGCACCTACGAGGAGTACATCCCGCGGAAGATCAACAAAGAGCACTCGTTGTTCTTCTTCAACTGGGCCCGGTCCAAGGTGTTTAGCTCACTGAACAAGATCTGCAACAAGACTCATGACGTAGAGTAAGTTACATTGGAATGTTAATCCCACCAAACTCGTACTAATCAGCGTTTTCCTTCCAGCTATGTAAAAAGTGTGTATATAGACGATATCGATAACATTGCACCCTGTTATCTGTATGAGGAGTACAACTGCAGCATACCGTACCCGCCGGAGGATGGTATGCGTACGCAGGGCAAGTGTAAGGTAAAGGTGAAGTTTGCTCCCTACGGCAACGGTAGGACAACGAAAAGTGCAAAATCAGGCAAAAATGCGCAAAAGGATGACAACGAGTCACTGCCGGGGCTGAAGGTGTTATATTCGCAGGAGGTAAATGTGATCGATGTTCGAATAGTTCATCTTTGATTATGACACGGTGTTTGTTTCTCTTCTACGGTTCGCAGTGGAGGCACGTGGCGAATATCGATGAAATTTTTACTATACTAGTAGACAACCTGACGGTGAACATTTCACTGAAGGATCAGTCGAATCTATACTCGATAGACTTCAACAGTCAGACTGAATTAGACTCGTTCGTAACGTGTTTATCTGGTTATTATAGGTAAGGTTCAGCTACAGTGGTGCGGATCGATTACTGAAATGAATTTCCGTCTATTTTAGGTTAATGTGTAAGTGGACTGTGTATCTGTGTAAACCCTATCTGTCCTCACCAACATTGAATAGACTTACGGAACTCAAATGCCATGGTCCTATTGGGTAAGTAGTAGTATTTTTTTTAAATATAATTTTCTTTGAGGAATCTTCTTTTCTGGTTCGACGTCGTTCAAGGTTCGACCTACACTTAGACAAATAGACTTAAGAATTTCATAAGGCTCGACTTATGAAAGATTTTCGTCTAACATGAGGTAGCTATACTACGCCATTAGCCATTCCATTTTCCCAAGCGTTGACTGACAAGTGGTCCAGACACAGGAACCGAAATCTCAACGTCCATGGTTCGGTTCCAGTCTGCTCAGTTTTATTACTTTTTTGTCGACATTAGCAGGGCTTGTAGTGAGTCACTTTTTAGTGACTTGGCCACTTTTTTCAAGCCAGTCACTAAAAAGTGTCTTTTTTTTAAGGTCAAGTCACTAAAGTCACTTTTTCTTGTAATCAGTTACTATTTTCCACTTTTTTAGCGTGAATTTATTTCAAGATTGAGCATTCTTTGCTTTTTAACGTTTAATCGTCTTTCTCTATCTATAGGGTGTCTACTCATTTTTCTAAATAAAATTTCCCGATTTACAGGTTTTTCCAGAACTTGAACGGGTAAATTCAACGCTTATAACCAGAAAGCTATTTGAAAATGCGTTTAAAATATGCTTTTTTTTTCTGGAAGACCAAAAACAACAGTAATTAACCCAAACGTTTTTAAGACATGGCAATCAGTTTTAAAGGAACAACTTTATAATCAAACCCACTTCATAATCAAAAGCACTTGCTTAATTTCTCACTTTGATAAAGTTAAAAAAAAAAACTTACTTAATTAGAGTAAGTCCAAGATCTAAAAATATTCAATGTCTTGTAGTTTCGTATTCCATGTACAAGTTCAAGATATTGAAAATTTTCTAAGTGCCTGAATTAAGGAAAACATTAGATGATTTATTTCAAGTTCGTAATTAACTTCATGAAAGATTAGAGATCTTCATTGCAGTTCTATTAACTTCACAACAATTGTAGAAACTTTGAAGAAGTTTTGAGCAATGAAAGGAAGTGCTGAGAATTTCAGTGAAGCTAACACACTGAAATTATGGGGAACCTACTGGAAGCTTTAAGATCCTCAAATCTGTTCTTTTAAAATCCGAATATTTTCAGGAACTTTAATGAAGTTCCTAGAATTTCAGAGCACTTCACAGGTGTTAAGCAAACTTGAGAAATATAGAAACCTTGAGGGGTATTGTGCAAATTTAAGAAGTTCTAAGCACCTCAGAAAAGCTAGATCTAGAGATCTTTGGGGAATTTCAGATCTTAAGAGCAGTTCCCATGACTTTAATGGAGCAGTTTAAATATCTATAATCGTAAATTTAGAAACATTGAAAACCCTTAAGATGTTCCGAGAATTTCAGGGAAGTACAGAGACCATCAGATAATTTATGAAAACTTCAGAAATATTTCAGGAACTTCACAGAAGTTCAAAGAATTTCTGGGAAATTTATCTTCCATAGAATTGAGAGCTTTAGGGACGCTTCGAGAACATCAAGAGAGATCAGTGAATCAAAGGGCAGTTCAAATAATTTCAAGAAAATTGTAGAAACCTTAAATAAGTTCCGGAAACTTCAGCAAAGCTCCGGTAGAACTTCTGGAACGTGATAAACATTATATGGACATCCGGAAAACGTGAGAGTATTTTAAGGGTGTTATATCATGGAGATTTCAAGAACTTAAAAAAAAGCGAAAATTTAGCTAAGTTGATCAGAGAATATCAACGGAGTTCCATTAATTTAAAAAACAAATGGAATTCCGTGGAATTATGGTTTATCCGAAGAATTCTATGATTGATCCAAAATTGTCAGAGAATTTTGAATAAATATGTATATCAGAAAATTTGCCGGATTACTATACAAATTTAGAGAACTGCAGGTAAGCATAGATAAGTGCAAGGAAAATAAGTGAGCGTTTTTAATAGTTAGAATACTTAAGGAAAATTGTCGAAACTTCAAGGCAAATCAATTAATTTCAGTAAAGTTGCGGATTCTTAAAATATACTGATCAATCCAGGGCTGTCTAGAGAACTTTAAAGAAATTCAATAATCGTTAAGGTAGTTTTAATAACACCAGGAAAGTCTAGACTATTGAAGAAGTTTTAAATAAGTGTCGATAATTTAATGAAACTTCAGAAAAATCATGAGAACTTCAGTGAAAATCATAAAACTATATTAATTATTTTGTTATAATTCCATGAAAATTGCGGAAGGATAAAAATTCCAGAAATTTATAAAAACTTCGAAAACATCACAGAAGGACAGTGGTCTTCAGAAACATTTCGAGAACTTCATACAAATCCATGGAGCTTAAGCGGAGATCCGCGAGCTTCAGGAATTTTTATAAATATTATCGAAATGCGGGAGCATTTGAAAGTAGTTTAGTAAGCTCAAAAAATTGGAGGAATTGCAGGGAGAGGTCAGTTCCATTAGTTTCAAAAAATTAGTGGGAAATTTCAAGCAATTCCCATATTTTTAGATAACTTCAGAGACGTTAAAAATTTAATTGAGGCCTTCGCAGAAGTTCAATAGTTCACTGAAGCTTGAACATTTTAAGGACGGCACAATTAAATTCAGCGCAGTTCAACAAGCTTCATGAGAACTGCAAAAACGTTAAAGCAGTTTTGAGAATTTCAGAAAAGAACAGAGAACCTCAGAGCAGTTCCGTTAGCATTAGAGAAGTCACATAAAGTTTAAAGAAGTTTAGAGAACTTCAGCGAATTGTTAAACCTTTAGAATCTCATGATCGTTAGAAAAATTAAGGAAACCTTAGGAGGTCCTATTAAGTTCAGGGCAGTTTGAGAATCTGATGAGTAGTATTGTGAGCATCAGGCTAGTTTCTCAAACTGCAAAAGAACTTCAAGGCAGATTCATTAACTTCAGGAAAAATTTGGGATGTTCTCAGAATAGTCCATTCCATATTCAATAGAAATTTCGATGAAGCTATCCTCCGAATTCAATTTTATTTTTGTTTTTCTCGAAATTACCTTGAAATTCTCCACAATAAGACAGACACCCTTTGGAAAGATTATCAGAATATTCATTGAATTCATTTCAGATTTTCTTTTGAATCTGACTTCTTCCCTTGGAATTCTATTCACATTGAAAGTCGCCTAAGAGTTCATTGGCATTTCTACTCACAAATTCCTTAGAATTCTTCTCATAATTTGTTCGGCAAACTCTCCTGAATTTTTTTCTCCGAATTCCTTTGAAGATGTCCTGAAGTTATTCTCAGATTTCATTATAATCCTTCTTTTAGTATTTAAAAAAAAATCCAAGGACTTATGCTCTGAATTTGTTTTCTCCCACAAACTTTATTAAATTATCCTCAGAATGCCCTTGGAATTTTCCTTTGAGTTGTGCTCCTCAGAAATTCCTAAGAGTTTTCAATAAAATTTACTTCTAATTCAGGGTCACTTTTAAGTCACTATTTTTACAACTTTAAGTCACTATTTAGTCACTTATTTCTTCAACATGGTCATTAAAATCACTATTTTTGACAACAGTGGTGGCTACCAGCCTTGCATTAGTTTTCATAAGGCATAGCTTTGAAATTTATACCGAATTCATGTGGCTAAAATTCATAAGTGGTTCTTATGGAATTCTAACGTACTTTTGCCTCAGTGTACTGTACAATGCTACACTGAGGCAAAGGAACGTTAGAATTCCATAAGAATTATTTATGAAATTTCGACAAAAGGATTTCTTATAAAAAACAATAAGTTTGGTGGATGAACCAGAATTGATAAGATAGTTTAAGAAACTTAAAAAAAGTTATATAAAATGTAGCAGACCGGAACCGAATCCTGAGCATTGCAGATTATTGACTCCGTGATTTTCTCTCACACCTATCAACGCTTTGGAAATAGAAAAGGTGTATAAGAACTACTGGTAGTACCTCATGTATCACGATAATCGTTCATTAGTCGTATGAAATGCATAACTCAAGCCCATTGTATCTTATGAATTCAAAATTGTCCAGGTTCATAAGTAATCTCTACGGGAATTCTTAAGATTTTTGCCTTAGTGTTCACCAACAAACTCTGTTCGTGGCTGCTTATATCCAGTTTCTCAAGCGTCCCACACTTCCTAGATCTTTCGATTCGAGGCCAACCCAACAAACAATCGTCTATTGAAGAAACGACTTCTTGGCCATTTTATTCAACTGCATGCTTAATAGTACTTGTACTATTTTTAATAATAACTTCTGTTCAGGCTTTGTTCACACAAATCTGGAGAATTTATTCAACCACAACATTGAACTACTGGTGTTGTATAAGGTATGACGAGAAGCTTTTATTCGACTTATATGAGTTGTAACAGAGTTTATACGATAAAATTTTTGATTATTCAGCGTTTATTAGACATCACTGCTTCCTTAAAACAGTGGAGCTCTGTATACGCTTGATTCTCATGTGAAGTAACGTTTAATTAGACATTATTATACATTTATTAAACGATTATTCAACTGTGGGAAAATTAACCCGAAAATAAGAGGACAGGGAAGGGTGTGTGTGTGTTTCTTTTTTAAGTGTATTGTATTTTCAATATTTCTGACGTGGCTCGCACCACACAGATATTAGAAAATTTATTAAATACTTATACATGCCGTTGTATGGGAATCGAACCATGTACCTTCCGATCACCAGCCGCTTGCCTTGTCATCTGAGCTATCCTAGAATTCATCATATGGGTAACTCAATAATTTATAAAAGCTTGCATGAATGTAAATACCTATCAGCACTCCCGATCGCAACTCTAGCTCCTTCAAGGCTCTGTGGGAACGATTAATTCATTCATCGTTGTTTTAAATGAGACCAATGTTGCCTCTTCACATCTCCAAGTCGAAAGAAAGGATGCTCGGTTATATTTTAAACTAGATCAATGCATTCATTATCGTGAGTCATGTGATCGATATTACTATTTAAATTAATTATGTTCTACACAAATAAAAAAAAAGTTGAGCTTGGAATTGAACTCACGACCTTCTAATTGGAAAGCGGAAACGGTAGCCAC